AAAAGGTTGCTTGGGCCGGGGGGGGGGGGAGAAGGGGGCGTTTGAGCTGTCCAGAAGCAAGCTCAGCAGGTGGAAGCGGGCAGGCTGACCAGATCTGTGTTCGGCACAACCGGCAGCCGCCCACCAGGAACGCTTGTGGGACAGCAAGAAGAAAGAAGGAAGGAGGAGGAGGAGGTGAGTCTTGGGATCGGGGCAATGCAGCCTCACATGCATCAGACCCTCGGTCCATCTAGAGCGGTACTGCCTACTTAGACTGGCAGCCGCTCTCAAGGGTCTCAGGCAGAGAGATCTTTCCCATCATCTCCTGCCGGATCTTTTCAACGGGAGACGCTGCTCGGGGTTGAACCGGGGACCTTCTGCATGCCAAGCAGAGGCTCTGCCACCGACTCAAAGCCTCTCTCGCCAGAGCTGCCGTGGCCAGCTAGTGAAGAACACAAGGCCGAGCCCCGCCCCCCCCAGCAGGAAAAACAACCCACCCACTTAGGGTCCTCACCTGAGCCATCATCCCCATGAACGCCCAGAGCCGGAACATCTTCAAGGGCACGCTCACCAGGTACTGCAGGGCGGGAGAGAGAAGAGGAGGCTGGTGGGGGGGGGGCTGGGCTTCTTCCGGCAAGTTCCGGTCAAGATGACACCCAGAGGTGGCTCTGTTGTGAGACCCCACAGTCGCAGCGGTCCGTTCCTCTCAATCCCAGACACTCCCCACCAATGTTCCCTCTAAGGCTGTGGAGTCTGGTGAGCAAAAATTCTACTTTGTGAGCTACTGGCATTAAAGCGGTGAGCGAGCGATTTGGCTCCTGCATAAAGTAGTTTGCTCTGGAGCCCTCCTTCCTGAGCCAAGACAGAAATCTGTGAGCTGGAGGCTAAAAAACTGTGAGCTGGCTCACACTAACTCATCTTAACTGTCTGGCCTCCTGACAACAGGCAAGGATTGTTACAGGGCCTGAGTCTTGTTAATGCTACACCCAAAGATAACTGTCATGAGTCTGAAAGCTGCCCTTGGCATTTTAAGGGAAACGCAGCAGGTGCTCTGCCACGTCCACCCCAAAAGGAGCCTCCAAGCAGCTCACTTAGTGCGTGGCCAGGGTACTCTGCTGCGACAACACGAGAACTCCGTGGGCACTCCATGAAATTACTGAGCAGTCGGGTTAGAACAGATAAGAGTCCTTCACCCAGAGAGCGATGAACACATGGAACTCACTGCCACAGGAGGGGGGGGTGGCTACAAGTATGGACGGCTTCAAGAGGGAATTGGATGAACATCTAGAGCAGAGGTCCATGAGTGGCTATTAGCCACAAGGTATAGATAGGGGCTCTGGGGCAAGTGATGCTCTGTCTTCTTGGTGCTTGGGGGGGGCAACAGTGGGAGGGCTTCTAATGTCCTGGCCCCACTGCTGGACCTCCTGATGGCCCCTGGTGTTTTTGGCCACTGTGTAACAGAGTGTTGGACTGGATGGGCCATTGGCCTGGTCCAACATTGGCTTCTCTTATGTTCTTATATGGAGGAGGTCCATCAGTGGCTATAGGTCACAAGGTTAGGTAGGAACTCACAGGCTGGGGCAAATGATGCTCTGTCTTCTTGGTGCTTGGGGGGGGCAACAGTGGGAGGGGTTCTGGTGTCCTGGCCCCACTGCTGGACCTCCTGATGGCCCCTGGTGTTTTTGGCCACAGTGTGACAGAGTGTTGGACTGGATGGGCCTTTGGCCTGATCCAGCATTGGCGTCTCTTATGTTCTTAAGACCGGGGGGCCACCTGAAGACCTGCGGGGGATCCCTCCAGTGCTCCAGCTGTGGGGGAGAAGAGGCACTGACCTCGTGGAAGAAGGCAGAAGCTAAGAACACGGCCGTCTGGGCGGTCCATTTCCCGACACCCCTCTTGATCATGGGCCTGTAGAAGTGCCTGCCCACAGAGGAGAAACGTGTTACCCAGATGCCTCCGGGAACCGCAAGGCGACAGCTACATCCTGGGGCCGAAGCCACCCTCAAGCCGGCAGCGCACCCCGCCGAACCCATGAGGCATCCCCCCAGACCCTAAGACTGCAAACACCATGTATGCAAAATATAACAACGCTCAATATTGGATGTAATGTATGGAACAAATGAATGAACCGTTAACTAATTCCATGCGTCTTTAGCACTGAAAAGGGTCACAAAAGGATTTTCCGAAGTAATTGCCCAAAAAATGCCGTACAACAGAACAAACAGGAAAAACCAATCACAAGAAATCACCACCATGTCACAAAGATAAATACACAATTCTCAAGGAGTCCGAGTAAGATCACGGACGCCGGATGCTGCAGCACAAGAAGACTGTAGAAGCCCTGACAGCCGTTCCGCTAAATGCTGTTTCCATTCCTGGTATCAAGAAAAGGCTTGATATCGACGCTAAATCTTGCTTGGAGGGTTTTTTTCCCTTGCATAAAAAAACCACGGCTTGCTACCAGGAGGTCTTTTGGGCTGGAGAGTTGTTTTCTGAGAATACCGATGTAAAGTTTGCCAGTCTGTGCATTTGGAACTCACTAACTGGGACTTCTGAAGAAGGAACGGAAACAGCGTTTGCCAGAACGGCTGTCGAGTCTCCCGCTATCGATTTGCACTGCAGCATTCGGTGCCTGTGATCTTACTTTGACTCCTTGGGAGCTGTGTGTTTATCTTTCCCACTTGGTGTTGATTTCTTGTGCTTTGTTTTTCCTATTTGGTGTGTACGTGTATGTTTCTGTTATTGTACAACATTTTTGGCAATTACTTTTGATAATCCTTTTGTAACCCTTTCCAATACTACAGACACATTGAATTAATTAAAGGTTTGTTCATTGATTTCATACATTACATCCAATATCGAGTGTTATTTTATATTTCGCATACCTGGTGTTCATAGTCTCTCTTTTTTAATAATAGTTCTTATTTTAAACAAAGCAGAGAGACAAATATACAAACAAACATACATGAGAGTAATAATAATATTATATCTCTTAAACTACCTCACACATATATATCAAATTACAGGCCTATGTTAAACACGACACTATTTCATTACCATTTTCTATAAATCCAGATTTAAGTGTATCTTAAAATTTCATAATCAGAGAAGTCTATAATTGTTGTCACTCTATAAATTAACAAAACATGTTTCTTCTGTTTAAAGTAAAGGTAAAGGCTTCCCTTGCTCGAAAGCCAGTCGAATCCGACTCTAGGGTTGCGGTGCTCATCTCCATTTCAAAGCTGAAGAGCCAGCGCTGTCCGAAGACCTTTCCGTGGTCATGTGGCCGGCATGACTAAACACCGAGGCGCACGGAACGCTGTTCCCTTCCCACCGAAGTGGTCCCTATTTATCTACTTGCAATGTCTTGCTTTCGAATTGCTAGGTTGGCAGGAGCTGGAACCAGAGACGGGAGCTCACTCCGTCATGCGGCACACTCAGGTCTTGAACTGCTGAACTACCGACCTTCCAGAGCCTGCAGTTCAGCATCTTAACCACTTGAGCCACCGCAGCTCCTTCTTCTGTTTAAGCGTTGTGTAAATTTCTCATTGTCTAAGACTAAAGCATAGGCCCCTTGCCTTCTGTTGTCTGTACAGCGTGGTCCCGTTTGCCTTTGCTTGCTCACCCAGACGCTTAGCCTAGCAAGGTCAGAATTCCCTCCTCCAGCCTTCTTTAGCTGGAGACCGGGACCTTCTGCATGCAAGGCAGAGGGGTCCTACCATGGCTGCCATGGACACAACTCCAAACCTTCTGATTTCACACACACACCCAACAAAAAAGACTAGCTTCACAGAGCCCGGCTCAAGTCTGAGCCCAGCTCAACTGATTGGTCCCTGATTGGCTGAAAAGCGACCTAAGTGGCCAGCTCCAGAAGATGGGGGGAGGGCAGTGTTGCACGACTGAAGGGGCCTGCCCAAACCTGTTCTTTAAGAGCAAGGCAAAACCTGTGTTTAAAGAGGGCGGCC